GGAAGAAACTTTTTGGGCAAAATTCCCCGAGAAAGTCAAATAGCCGTTTTTTTACTGATGTGGTCCAAGGGCAGATAACTGGCCCATCCCGAACCGCATCCGACGACCTTGAGGTCACGGCCTTCTAAACTAAATCGACCCCTGAGAGTCGCGTGGTGACCTTGTTTTGACCTTTAAAGGTCAAGGTCATGGTCGATTTAGTGGGGGTAGCCGCGAAGACTAGTTCCGCGGAACACTCGTAAAAATTAGAAAAAATAATTATTGAAATAGGACGTTTTGGGGCAACGGAGCCCCATGAGACCGCGAATTGGGGCTTAAGAGTATGGGACCTGGTTGTGGGACCGTTCTTGGCCACGGCCCCAAATTTCAGACCTCTCGAACTACCAGTTCCGGAATTGGGCCCAAAGAGGTCAAGGTCAAGGTCAAATGACAATTTTGGCTCGATTTCACCGACTTTCGGTCCCTGGGAGTAAATCTGCAGGGTATCACGTGACTCGCAAGGATCGAGTGGGGGGGGTAGTTGCAAGGCCTAGTTCGTCGGACGAACTCCGAAGAGACTCTTCGTTTGTGTCATTTTTTAATGCAAAAGTCGGGCGTTTTTCGTAAATACAGTCTTTGTATTTGACTGAGGTATCTCGAACTTTTCTAGTGATTGGACAGTCTTGTATTAGCGGAATTCGGCACCTAAAATTTCGGCTTCCTGGTCGTTTTTGGCCGATTTATAACCAAAAAACCGGTATTTGGTCTTTAGTCCTACAAAATTGTTAGGGTTACGAAAAAAGTAAATTATGGGGCCTCATGGCCTAATGGAGGTTTTGGGCCTTACTTTGGAAGTAGCCTATAATAGCATGGACACTTCGCTAACAAATGCATATATTTCATAGGGCACTTGCCATTTGAAGGCTAAATAGGTCCCCCCAAATCGATATTACTATTATTTAAGGATCTGGACCAGGTAGCGACTTGATATTTGGTGACATGTTAGACGCCATAGAACTCAGGTGTGTCTGTTAATTTCGAGCTTGTGGCGTGATTTCCGGCTGCGATATCGACCAAAACTGACTAAAATGGGACTAAAAGTCAATAATTTTGGTCACTCCCGGTTAACCGCAATCCCGTCCACAATCACGTGCCCTAACCCTATTTACATCTCGTGACCTATCGTTATTAACTTTTAGCCTTTATCCGCCAAATAATGGTCCGCGAAAGATAACTCACAATACCCAGTGATTACGTTTCTAGTGTAAGGAAAGATTTGTAATATAAGAATCTTCAATGAAAAAAATGGAATTAAACAGTTAGAAGGTTTAATGGATCCATGTGATTTAAAGCGTCGACACATGGATCCAAAATTTTCACAGTCTACAACAGAATATAATACAGAACAGCTGTATTCATCCGCAAAAAAAATAGTACCTAAAATTCATGTACATTATATAGGTTTAAACGTCAAATGAGGTCAAATGAATAGAGACGTCTTTAATATATACTAAATATTCGTATCATCCCAAATCGACAATAAAACAGTGAGAAAAAGGAAAATCTAAGTAATGGCAATCTAATTAACATCAAATTTACGACATAATCGATTCTTCAATGTTTTGATGGTGATCATGAAGAAAATACATCTGTTCTCAGGAATCCGATAAGATTTTCAAAAAAAAAGATCACTAGAATTATAGATTGTTATTCCACAAAGTCGAAAGGTATGTTAGATTTTTCATTCAGTCAAGTTAGAGCGAGTTTATTGCCGTCCTTTGAGCTCCAAACCCGATAGAAATGAAGGCGGAAGTGGCCATAATAGTTTTAGAGATCACTACGTGATGGCGCTCCTGCGTCGCGACAAACGGGGCCGATTTGTCGAGTGAGAAAGACGAGATAGTCCAGTCCCTTGTTAAGTGATCGGCCGTTGTTATCTACTAGTATACGATATTATGGATTGGTAGTGGGATTGGTAGTGTCTTCGTTGTGGGATTAGTGTTTAGGTGCCAGGCCCGTCTTATATCGTGACCTCCCCTTACTCCACAATCCCACTCTATGGGTTTGGTATCTGTTTCTTTTGCGGAATAGGCCTAGTGTTTAGGTCCCGAGTCCGTCTGACCGTAACTCCCCTTACTCCACTATCCTGCTAGCTTGAAGTTGGTAGATGCCATCTTTGTGGGATTTGTGTTTAGGTGCCAGGCCCGTCTTATCGTGACCTCCATGGCCGCAGATCTTATTAAATTTTAGGGGGGACGGAGGTGGTGGGCGGAGCCCGACACACGACTCGCGCCGCAGTCCGTCTGACCGTAACTCCCCTTACTCCACTATCCTGCTAGCTTGAAGTTGGTAGATACCATCTTTGTGGGATTTGTGTTTAGGTGCCAGGCCCGTCTTATCGTGACCTCTATGGCCGCAGATCTTATTAAATTTTAGGGGGGACGGAGGTGGCGGGCGGAGCCCGACACACGACTCGCGCCGCAGTCGCGAACCATTCAGCGGGGGGTCTAGGTGTCCTCCCCCAGAAAATTTTGAAAGCAGGATGCCTGAAAACGCTATCTGGACCATTTCTGAGCATTCTGCAGAGATGAACGTACCGAGAATAAATTGTCGTTTTTGAGCGAGAATAATCAATAACTACACAAATAAGGGATGAGGAATATTCTTTATTTCATCATAATGAATAATTTCAGCCGACAGTATATACGAATACGAATACGGTAAAAAGTAGTTATGAGGGCTTAGAGTACAGGCGGACTGGTTATACATGTATTACAAAAGTTAAAAATATTTATTATTAAACTTTAAAAATATAAACAGTAAACCACAGATGATATGGACTGATTAATCAAAGAAGTCCTCGCAATATAGGGATATAGGTAGGCTACTAAATTGCTGGTCACGGATGAAAATGTGATGAATAATTTCTCAAGTGGCCAGCTCTGAGCATAAACTGCTGAGGTCATGAAGAGATCATTGTCAGATCTGGGTTACATCAAAGACCAGGCATTTTTGAAATAAGGGGAAATATCCTCAGCCTGAAAATAGGACTCAAGTTTTGGGAGACGCTGACAGAGAACGGCGGGCGAAGGCATACGCCACGTGCGCTATGTAGGCGCGCAATTAGCGGGGGTCTTGGTGCCTTCCCCGGAAGATTTTTTAAAATTAGGATGACTCAAAATGCTATCTGAGACCATTTCTGGGCATTGTACATCGGCATGTTCGGAAGGAAATTATTTGAAATATAGGCTACATTTCCCGGGCTGAAAATAAGACTTTTGAAATTTTATTGATGCATTTTTCTGGGGGGGGGGGGGATCTGCGGCCTTGGTGACCTCCCCTTACTCCCCTATCCCACTCTGTAGGTTTGATGTCTATTTTTTGACGGAATAGTGTTTAGATGCCGAGTCCGTCTGATCGTGACTCTCCCTTACTCCACTATCCTGCCAGTTTGGAATAAATCCCCTATGTAGTTTAGTGTTTAGATGTCGGGCCCGTCTAACCGTGACTCCCTCTTACTTCACTATTCTACTTAGTCCAACTGTGTCCATTAGGGCGTGGATTTGTTCGAAGATTTGCAGTTTCAGATCTGGTCTCGGGAAGAGTAGGTTCTTAGTGTTGAATGGTATGTTGTTGGTCTCCATTGTTCTCACTAGTTCCCTTCTCTCCTCCTTGTATAGCTATGGTTGGTGGTACATTCTTCTCCACATTCACAGATGATGACTTGGTGTTTGTAGTCTCGCAGCCGCTCTTTCACCCATAGCTTCGATATAAGTCTACAAATATCTCTTCTAGGGTGATTGAGTGTTGTCTTTGTGTAGATCTTGTCATCCAGCCAGAATCTGTATGTGTCAAGTTCAAAGTGATTTAATTCCCAGATTGAATTGACCTGTCTTTTGACCATACTGTAGATTTCGGTGGTGCTGTAGTCTATGGTGCGGAGTGGTGTTGTGTCCTTGAGACCTTCATTGGCTAGTCGATCTGCCTCCTCGTTTCCTCTAATGTTGACATGTGATGGAATCCACACAAGTTCTACTTTGCTTCCCTTCTCTAAAACCCTCTGGTACAGCTGCCTGATTTCCAAAATGACTTCTGGTCTTGAGTCCGAGTTGTCATTTTGGATTGAAATCAGACTGCTCAGAGAGTCGCTTGGAATGACGAACTTACTAGTCTTTTGATGGGAAATCCATGATATAGCGTCACGAATGGCCACAAGCTCTGCAGTGTACACCGAACAGTTATTGGGCAGTTTCCTGCTTATTCCCTGTTCCCCGTTTGGCAGGTATATTCCAAACGAGCTGGTGCCCCTTTCAGGATTGCGTGAGCCATCCGTGTACACATGGTCCCAGTCATCAGACGGCCAGTTGTCTTCCAGGTGTTCTAGAGACAAAGCACGTGCAGCAGTGGGGTTGTTTTTCTTGTCAGTTTTCTGTAGTAGATCTAGATTAACCGGCGGTATAGGGAGCGTCCAAGGGGCGATCGCTGGGGGGTCGTGTTCATTTATCACGAGCTCCCCCAGTTGCAGACATAGGAGAGCCGAAGCTGATTCCTGTTTTTTAGAATATGATTTTGCAATCTTTCCATTTGGCCTTAGGCCATGGATTTGGTTTAGAGGGAAGTTCTTCCCTTTATTTAATATAAAACATATCGTTTGGTAGATGATCTCGTCTGCTTCTGGATTGGTAGATATCATCGTTTGGGGTTAGTGTTTAGGTGCCAGGCCCGTCTTATCGTTGCCTCCCCTTACTCCACTATCCCACTCTCTGGGTTTGGTATCAGTTTTATTTGCGGAATAGTGTTTAGGTGCCGAGTTCGTCTGACCGTAACTCCCCCTTACTCCACTATCCTGCTAGTTTAGTAGATGTTATCTTTGTGGGGTTTGTGTTTAGGTGCCAGGCCCGTCTTATCGTGACCTCCCCTTACTCCACTATCCCACTCTGTAGGTTTGGTGTCTGTTTTTGGTGGAATAGTGTTTAGATGCCGAGTCCGTCTGATCGTGACTCCCCCTTACTCCACTATCCTGCCAGTTTGGTAATCCCCTATGTAGTTTAGTGTTTCGATGCCGAGCCCGTCTAACCGTGGCCCCCTCTTACTTCACTATTCTACTTAGTCCAACTGTGTCATTAAGGCGTGGATTTGTTCGAAGATTTGCAGTTTCAGATCTGGTCTCGGGAAGAGTAAGTTGTTAGTGTTGAATGGTATGTTAGTAAATTTCGTTTCATCTTATATGGCCGAGTTCTTAAATTTGTGCGTTACCCTTTCAATGATGTCCGCCAAATCGGTTAGAAGACGGAGACGTATTTTTTAACAGCGTGTTGTGTCGCTCATACTGACTCTAGCGAGGTAAGCAAGGTCTTATTTTCTCACTAAGATGTTCAGTTATATTGTTCAGGCGTTCACAGGGACTGACAGGCGAGCGTTTAGCAGTAAAAAGTTGCCCAGTAAAATTGACTGGGAAGCCATTGGAATTTCGACAAGGATTTAATAAGACTCTAAGAGAGTCCCTGAACGTAGAGGCCGAGTGTAATGATGAGATGAACTATTGTTGATGTGCTGTCCTTGACTAAATGTTTTTGTTTTTTGTAACAAATTCGCTTAAATTTGAATGCACATATCAGGGTTTTTTTTGTAGGTAATGTAATGTATTTAAAAAGTTCTGATTTTATTTTTAATAAATTCACAAGGATAAGGATATGGAAATTCACAAAATTTTGGCTAGAATAGGCTAATTTCCTTGATTTGAGACAGTCACTGCATTCATATGATTTGCCTTAATGATGATACAAACTGGGTGATTTCATGACATATTCAAACTAATTAATCAATCACAATTTTGCTTCAAATCTGTCTCAAAACATTGTAGGCTATTCGCAAGGGAATACCCCTGCTATAAAAATGAATATATATAATTAAAAGAGGTCATGTTTGTGTCCCGTGTGTGACTTGGCTGACGCGGTACTTAGCAACGGGTGTGAAGCCAGAGGAGAATTCATTGCATATACAAGACGATGTTAACAGAACACAGTTTTTATGTCTTTGATCACTGTCCATTTATTATAAATATCGAAGCCTAATTAAATTCACTAATCCGTTCAATTTTTCGCTAATCACCTTGTATTGTATATATTTTATTTTGTATAACATGTAAATGTCTGCGACATCACTTAGGTGGAAGCGAACGTTAAATAAAGCTATTTCACACATTGATAATCTGCCTAATCCTACTCGGTATTCACCATATGGATCACTGCGTTAGATTATTCGTTTTAATGAATTTTGTGACTGTCAGTTTACTTGTATAAAAGTTAGGGTGACCCGTGTACTCTACAGAAAGTTGGTCTCGACACGGCTAATGTGCACGCTTCAATGGTTGTATCTCGAACTATGATAATAGTCAGCGGTGGAGTGTATGACACTATAAATAGCCATGATGGCACGTGCAATTCTCTACAAATCTATCAACTATTACAACCGTAAAAAATCTATTGTTGACGATTTTGAATAGCAGTAAAATTTAGCTTCTTGGTTATTACAGCAGCTTTAGAAATTACGTTCGTTTTATTTTTTAAATTGCTTTATCATTAACTGTACCGTTAAGAGCGGCATCTTTTGGTTTAGTACAAATAATATCTCTGAATCACATTCATTAGCAGGAACATGATACTAGCAGTAGTTTCATTTTACTTTTACAAGTTTCTTAAAACAATTGTTGAGTTGGCTAACGTGCGTATTTCTAAATTAAATTTCTTGTTCCAGCTTTCTGTTATGTTTCGTAAAAAGGTAGTCTTGATTATCCCGACCTGTCAATCAGACGTAGAATGGTTGGTAGGCCCTAGACTGGTTAAGCGACACTAATTTCAAAACAATGGCACATAACTTATCTTTTACTCAAAAGTGTCTGGATGTTATGGCCGACGCTTGGAACCAGTTTCAGTCTATTATTTATAGACGATTAAATGGTCATAGCTTATTAAGTACAACATGATCGTTTATTTAGTGACTATAATTGTGTGAAACTGATTTAAGGCTTGGTATATATATAAATATTGTGGCGTAATTGTCGAGATATTTGGAGATATTAATTATGGTGGGTCACCCTATAAAAGTACGAGCAAGGTGATGCGAAAAGAAAAGTATGATCGCACAGACAGTTGATTACCTCAAAGGAAGAAGATTCTATTTTTTTATTGCTAGCATGCAACTGCTCGAAACAACAATAAATTTCATCAAAATCTGCAAAGGGTATATTTATGTGGAGTTGCATACAATAATATATTTTAGTGGGAACTGACCAATTTTTTGCTGCATCACTGTTCCAATGTGTAATAATATCAATCGTTATATACTGAGCGCCATGGAAAACACATCACTTAGTTTTTCGTATAACAAAATGGACTGTAAACATATCTTATTTATTTTGCTTCTTATTGTGAACAATATTCAAATGGGAACACGTCAATAACAACACATTTGTACACTTATGGATGTTTAATCTGTAATCAACGGTACAAAGTCAGAGGGGTCAAAACCAAAAGTACGACACAGATGTCAGTAGCGCATGTGTCCTCCACGGGCTCTTACGCACGCTGTGCAGGGATGTCGCATAGAATTAACCAATGTTTGAAAGAAGGCCTGGGGCAAATTGTTCCATTCTTGGACAAGAGCAGCTTATAAAGCAGCAATGGTGTGCATCTGTGGTCTCCGATACAGACGGCGTCCAATCTCATCCCAGACATGTTCTATCGGTGCCATATCCTGAGACATGGCTGGCCAGTCGAAGACATTGATGTTGTTAGCAGCTAGGTGGTCCATACTAAAACGGGCGTGCATTATCCTGTTGGAAGTGCTGAAGTTGTGGGTGCGCTCGAAACATCGGAACAACAGTTGGTTGCAAGACATCATGTGTAGGGCAGGCACTTCCCCCACCCCATCGATTCGTTTCGAAGACACAGCAGTTTGCATGACGTTTCCCAAGACACACGTTGACGGCCATCAGCGTGATAAAGATGAAAGCGACTCTCATCACTGAAGAGCACACTTTGCCAGTCTACTCTTCTCCAGGTCTGGTGCCATTGAGCCCACATTAAACGCCGCTGACGTTGATGATCCCTGAGGATAGCTCCAACATAAGGTCGTCATGCAGGGAGTCCTACTTCTCTTAGACGACGTCTTACGGTGTTGGCACTTACTGGTCATTGTCTTCTGACGACTGCTGAACCTGTTCGAGTCGCTGGGCGGAATCTGTTTCGCAGATGAGTGACCTGGATGTAGCGGTCTTAAGCCTGGGTTGTAACGCGTTGTGGACCAGGACATTGACGGTCACATGTTGATCCAGTAACTCGAACACGTTCCACCAACCTTACAATAGTGGACTGATGACAATTGAAGTGTCTGGCAATAGCACGTGTAAACATGCCAGCCCGGGACATTCCCATGGCTCGATTCCTTCACACGCCCAACAACAAATTACGACTATTTTTTTTTAAACCTTTTTCCTTCATTTTTTGAATACTTCCGGTATGGAGATTATTGTCGGGATAGTTTTAATAACCTGATTGGCTTATCAAAAAGCCACAGGGCTATGTAATGATATATTACATTGTCTGATAAGATAAAATGTCCCTGGGAAATCCATGTTCAATAGTGCCAAAAATGCAAAAATTATATTTAAATATTTCAATACATATTAAACATCGTTAGAATCGTAATTAGGTCAGCTATCTGAATCTGTAACTTTTTTGTAAAAATTTGTTTAAATAATAAAGTAATAGAGCATTTTCCAAAATTTCACGATTTTTCAACTTTTTTCGATTTTCAGTACGTTATTTTACCTATTCCAGATATTTCAATGTCTTATTGGATGGATTCATGCACAAGACTCCCGGAGGGACTCTCGATAGGTAAAGTTTCAGAAAAATCCTTTGAGCAGTTTTCGAGATACAGGCGTCCAAAAACGCTCCAAATGAGAAAATACTTGATTTTCAGCATGTCATATTTTGCTGCCCTCTCATAGGATTCGTGTGGAATTGGTATCATATAATAGTCAAATATCCGAGCTTTAATCCGTTGATATCGGGTGGAGAAATCACGTTTTTCCCAAAAGGACCCATTTTTTGCGTTTTCTTCAAAATATCGCTCAATTTTTCGACCACTTCCGGTTTAAGGATCCTTGTCGAAATATCAGTTGGACTTGGACAATAACTTCATGTTCCACAAGTTTCAGAAACGTCGATTCGGCCGTAAAACGAAACTCGGGCTCACAAAATGGGCAGAAAATTCGAAAAAAAAACGAAAAATAAAGGGTGATAACTCTGAATGAAAGTTTTATTACTGGAATCAGATTGCCTTCAAGTACCCAAAAATGTAGGTCAAATTTGAAAATTTTGAAAAATAACAAAAATTGTCTCTTAAACAACATTTTTCATTTTTCGAACGCTAGAAGTCAGCGACGAAGTTTCGAAATTTCGAAATATTCAACTGCTATCATCCGTGAAAAGACTCTGGGTTTCTGAAAATGTCATTTGTATGAAAATAGGTACAGAATTGACGAAGCTACGGCCGTTTTTTAATTTTTATGCACCGCACGAAATTCGGCTAGTCCGGTCTGCGCAGAAGTTTCAAAAATACTTTATCAAGTAGCCACCACATGGTTTCCCTATAGAAAATTGAACCCCAGATCGATATCTGTTTTCGATCATGGAGAAATAGGCTCCCGCGGTAAATAATAATAATAATAATAACTAGACCTGCAAGCAGCACTGAACCGGCTTTCGGGAATCACACAGGAAGTGTGTCATACAATAGCCCATTTATCGAGCTACCAAACGACACTTTAGATGTTTTGATCCGGTCACACCCGACGGTGAAATCCCGATTGTTGCAAGAGCACCGATATTTTTAGTCTTTTTTTTAAAGAAAAATATCAAATATTTTTTTGACTACTTCCTATTTACGGATCATTATCGGGATAGATTTAACAAGTGGTGTGGGAACTTAACGTCCTGTACCAAAAGTTTCAGAAAGATCCATTGGACAGTTTTACCTCCCTTATACCACTAGAAGCAGATTTACAGATATAACAATTTTTCGGCCTTTTTCAAAGATTGTGACCCTTTTTGACCATTTATACAATATTGAGGCTTTTAAATTTGGATTCATACCATAGACCACTGTTAGGACTCTAACTCTAAGTAACAGA